TTTCACACCGCCTAAAAACATGCCTCAGCATAAAGTTGGTCTGTAAAAAACTTAATAAGGAAAGGATGAAGGATGTGGAATGGACTGACAGTGAAAAAGAAAGCCATCGAAACTATCGGAAACAGCGAGAAGAAACTTAGACTTTCTTTAATGTCAGCTCTGGCATGACGGAGAATAAGCGCGCAGGAGGCGAGGATACGCGGAAGAGCCTGCTGAAGAGAAAGCAAAGATGCACTGCCATAGGTTAACACTCACAGCCACTGATGGGGAGAATCGGCCAAGCTTTAGCTCCCTTGTCTTTCACTTTCGAACTGTGTAAATGGCGCACCGGTGACCTTCGCAAACAGCTCTACCCTACCCACGGAATGTTTAATTCAGTAGTCTAATCTGGGGGTGTACTTCAAACGACATCTACTACATAGTAGTGAGCAAGCTATTAAAAATTTCTGGACAAAAGTGATTGCAACACAACAAATAAATCCCATGTAGGATGGAAGAAAAAGAGAAAAGAAGAGAAATGCGCAGAAAAAGACCTACCTCATAGCTAGCCGTTGGAGGAACAAGCCCAACATAGTAGTTGTCAAGCGACGATTCCACAAGACGTGTCTTTGTTATGTACTGGTAGTACTTAAGACAGTCGAAGTAAGCCGGAACTAAAGGCAGGGCCCACGCCTTACGAGGAATCATGAGACTTGGATGCCAATCACTGAAGTACAATATCAGGTGTGAGAAGCCAGAACATGTGGCCCAAACACCACCAACCGTCGCCATGTCCTTTCCGCTCTGGTCCATGGGCGCTCATATGGGCTCACAAAGTCAATCTTCTCTTTTATTGTTGGTAACTGATTGACGTATTCCGCTGTTTTATAGTAATCATACAATCGCACACCGGCTCCAGAGGCATCGCCAGCGTTCTGTAACAGAGCAAAATCTTCAAACCATATTTATTTGATTTTTATTTAATTTGTAGATTCAAAAACACCTGAAGGTAATGAAAATGAATAATGAATGTTAACTGAAATGCTACACAGGTAGGCTCATAAACCACTGGGTGACAAGAGCAGCACTGACTGAAAAAAGGCATCAGCGATATTCACTATCAGTTCGCTCAACTACTGGTGAGTACCTACAGGAATCGTTCCTTCATACACAGGACGTGATTCACTATCCATGCCCCTTATACATTGAGACAGTAAAAGATATCAAGCGGTCATAGAAGTCAACAGGGAGTCTATGGACAGGTTTCCGCGTCATAAAGAAGTCAACATGGAGATGGGATATGGAACAGGTAGAGATTTACAGGAGCCTAGAAATTTCTTCGTTGCTCTACTGAACATTGCAACCCTCCACCATAACCTGAAAAAAAAAGAATTGAAAGGAAACGGTGCTCTGAGTGACTATTGTTTGCCTTTTTATGCCATAATAATGGAAAATAAGTCTCTTTAAGAACGCAGACCACATTCGCGGAAAAAGTTGAGCGACTATTCGAAAGAAAATTTGGCTCATGAGTCGAGCGCCACAGTAATAGTGATAGAATTCCGTGTAATACGCCCTCATGTAAACACAAACCAGAGTCACTTTTTGATTTTAAATATATGAGTTGAGGACGTTTCTGATAACAGAGTCAAAAGGCTAAAACCAAAATAAGTCGCTGGGTCCTATGAATAACAGAGGACGTAGATGTAGCAAAGAAAATAAGTTAAGAAAGAGTAAGAATTGTTAACAAAGCACGAAATGCCACCTTTAGGGTATTTAGAGCCTTGACCACCAAAAACCCTTCGGTTCTCCTTCAGGCCTATAAAACATATGTACGGCCCCTTTTGGAATACGGCACTGTCATATTCAATCCTCACAAGCGGAAAATCATAGATAAAATTGAGAAAGTTCAGAACAGCTTTACAAGGAAACTTATTATTAGAGTCGTTGGTTTCCTCTACGATAGTATTCCTTCGGCCATTACTCGGAACTCTAATCTTGGCCTAACATCTCTTGCTTGGCGGCGGAGGAAGCTTGATCTTCTAATGTTCCACAAAATTCTTCATGGGCACTCTTGTCTCCATCTCAGTACTTTTTGTAATGTTGGAGCGTCCACGACAAGAGGTGGAGTCTTCAAGTTACTGCTACCTAAAGCTAGGCTTCAGTGCAGAGCTCACTTTTTCATAAATCGTGTGTACTCCCAATACATGGCGCTAAGCAGAAAGAAAAGCATTCCTATTACCTCTTCGGGATTCAAGAAATACCTTGATGATCACCTGGTCCCGCAATGACTTCCTCGTGTTATGTTTTACGTTTCCACATTGATTACGATTTCTCATATGCTTTCTTAGTTCGTTGTTTTTTTTTCTTTTGTTTTTACGTTATGTTGTTTTACTATACCTTCTACTGTACCTTTGCGCTGGCAATGTGCTATTATGTCATAAGTGTTCTACGAATGCTAGGTTACTACTCGTTTGAAGTAATTCACATGAGTATTCTCATGTAATAAATATATATGATAGCAACTCGACCTCAACAATTAATTCGAGTGCTAGCATATGTGAACATAACGTCTATGTTGAAATTTCAAGACAAGCGTTCAGGACAAGATGATAAGGATAAGAATTCGGCGTGAGAATCACTCCCGCTTAGGCGGCCATGACCTGCACGCATTCCGAACGTAATGACAATTTGAAATCGACTGGGCCTACCACAATGATTGCGGGGTTGCAGCGACGGATGTTTATGCCTGTTCTTTATGCATGCCAGATTGAAGATAGGACACATTAATCGCCCGGTCAAGAAGAAGGCGTGGTTGATCCAGAAAGGCACGACTCAGGACTTGATCCCTGGAAAATGCGTGGTAAGCAGCGCCTTTTGCTACTACACCATTTCCGCCTTCAACTTTCGAAGTATGTCTGACCAGAGAATAACGAAAAACGATGGTTTCCACCCCTCGTGTTAGTGTTGTTCTAACGTCCCTATGGAATACTGTGAACTATCCTGAAGTTCTCGAAACCACTTACTGGGAATTCTTCCTGAAGCATATGTGTTGGTTTATGATGCTGGTGAGGTTTCCGGTAATAAGCAGGTCGTTGAACATTTGCTGATTTCGACGACGAGGAGCACATTCGTATTGTCATAGCAACGCAGTTCTCTATTACACGACTGCTGGAATTCCATCGTCGCATTTTCTAGAAAAAAAGAATCAGTGTGAAACGTACATACACAAGTACAATAAGGAGCGTATGCCATTCCGTCAGCAACAAAAAAAACCTTGCGAGACATTGCCTTATGGAAAAAGAAAGTGTATTACAAAGGGTGCATGCATGCTCGAAGGGCTCGAGAAGGGGTATATACCTGGTGGATCAACACGGAAGCACCCAAAAGCTCCGACCCATAAAAAACCCACTTAGTTTCCTTCTTACACATAAAACAGTTCACCCATCCCAAAGCTTCCCCTTCCAGCGAAAAAGGGATTAGTCTTACTGAGGCGGAAAGATGCGCCGCAATACAGCCCTCTCTTCAGTTACGAGAGTTCTTGAACTTTCTCATATCGGTCGAAAAGGTCCAAGCGCAGAGGGTTATGGGACGGCGCGTACCGCAACTTATAACGGTGTCGTACGGGAGATGAGTACCTTCTATCCCGGAAGACGAGAAGAGCGTCAGGTGCAGACCATACACCACAAGTGACGACGGCCAATCGTCACATTGGTGTATGGTCTGCACTCGACGCTCTTCTCGTCTTCGAAATAGAGACTAGGGAGCGGTCCCCGTCTGAATAAGTAACTGGGGGCCTTGATTACGGATAGGACATTCATCTATACACTAGCGAAACATTGGCTCCAATGCAGTTTTCACCAATTTCAGTGTAAGCCTGCGTAAAGGAGGTGATTGGGTGCCCTGATAACGAATATAACATCCATTCCGACGGTAACGTCAAAGATGAATGCCGTATTCGTAGTCAGGGGACCAAATCGTATACCCGAGTTTACACCAAAGTTGGCGAATCCGGCCACTGGTTCGATTCGATCATTGATTATAGAGCTAGTAAGAGGATTAAGGAGTCCTGATTAGCGTAAAACAGTTATTGCACATATAAGTAACAAGTTTTCATAGAATAACGATGGCGAGTCGAAAAAACTAGATGAAAACCTAATAGGAAGAGTAACTCTCGCCTCCCGCGATGCTTTTCAAGAAAAAGAAGGTCGTGCGACAAAGTGTGCCGTGTGTAATCCCAGGAAGACACCACAATTGTCGTCAATTCGTTGTGGGAGCAGTTTTTTTGCAGGTAAGGCCCCTGGTTGCCTTGCTTTTTACTTTTAGACCTGTGTACAGGATGGAAACTTTATGCCCTCCAAGTTTTAATTCATGCTCCTCAAAGTCGAGAGGGAAACTTGTCAAAAGTAGTTTTCAAACTGCTCGTGAAGTTTTCTGTTTTCTGATTATTTGGGATTGCGTGCTTGTGTGATGAATCGTTTGACTATTTGTTTCAATCGATGATAGGACTAGAACGCTCTCCTAAAAAAAGACAGTCGCTGGTGGCAAGGTTTGTTTGTTGGTTGTTGTTGGTCATACAACAACATTTGTTCGATGCGCCACCACTTGATAACATTGTTCATAAACATCACTTCAAGGATGTAAAACATTCGTGGCTCATGTTCGACGAGGTGAAATTCTGCAGTTTGCCTGCTGAATACGACGCGCTTGCGTCGCGGCTTTGGCTGGGGCGCGCTTTCTGATAAAGAGGCTCTTGGCAGAAGGCTCTTAGCACGCGCAAAATCGAAAACTAGGCAAGCAGAGCATGTAGTTGTAACACTAGTGGGCCACTCTATCGGGGGATACGGGCACCTTAGGCCAAACAATCGGCATTAGCGATGAGAACCGATTTGCTTCCGCAGGTGTTAGCGACCTTTTTTTTGGACGGCATTTTCCCCAGCTGAAACCAATTCCCTGGGGCTCTATAACAAGTCGGTTAGGCACGCAACAGCTTTTTAACGCATAAGTCAAGTCAGCTGCCCCCACCCCCCCCCCCCTAGATTGGCTACACTCCCCCTGGCTCACAAACTCCCCGATTCTCGTGACAGTGTAGTAGCGAGCCGCAGTCTCATTTACATACATTTCTGTTCAAAATGCGGCGTGCCCACCTTACTTGTATAGTACCCTCCCACGTACCTTTGTCAAAATTTTCTCGCAATGTTCTATTGTGTACTTATGAAGGGCTGAAACGGCAATCGGTTGGAAAGGCGATTTTTGTGTGGGGAAACAGAAGAGGCATCAGTGAACAGTTGTTTCGAGCACATATTCCTTCTTATCTTACCTTCCCTTCTTGGCAATTTTATTATCGACTAGCCTCTTGTTCCCCATTACTCGTCTGTGTATAATGAATAATTTTTGTGTGCTGTTTTGGGTGGTCCTGTCGGAGGTCGCTTCAGGCAGTGGTAGGCGGAAGTGATCCGGTAGCAAATGGTCAAGGCTTATCGTGAGTAGGGTCGGATACGATCAGGGTATCGCCCAATCGCGCGCCATCGACTGGCCTTCCTGTATGGAAGAGGGGTAGTGTTTGTCGTGTTGGAGGAATGGCATCGTTTTGGCGAAATGGGAGATGCCTTTTGGTATAAATGGGAGAAGTAACTTTCAAGTATTGGTAGAATTTTCCATAAACGTAATCTGAGGAATTTCTGGAAGATCCGCAAGCCATTTTTTAATTGCAATTTTAGCGGAAATTCTGCAATCCTTTACCGTCTATATTGGCCTTTGCCAGACCGTTAGAAGTGTGATATAGTGAGCAATGGCGGCATTTCCGTGTGCCACATCTTCGGATCTCGCTCAGTAAACCAAGTCTTCCTTACCTCCTGGGTAGCTGAAATGGTACAGACTTGCTGAGGAGAATAAAAGCACTAATCGGTACATCGATTATCCCGTAAATAAAATAGTTAGGTTTGACTAAAAAACATAGAACTTAGAAGTTTCCAGGGGGAATAATCGAAGAATTAGTTCGACTTCGTTTCGCACGTGCCTTCAGACAGAAGCCAAACGTGAAAAATAAGTAGTAATAATAAAAAAACACACCGCTAATTCTTGCGTTCGAACAAATGCACAGATAGAATTCCACCAACGAATGCCGGAGGCAAGTAGGCATCCATGGCGCGTCCCAGAAAGGGATTGACGGAACCTTTATCTTTCACACTTTTGGATTTAGCGCCTTAGGCGGACTCAGCGTTTCTCACCGAAGAGGCGCATGTTATGTGAGAAGCAGGTGGCCGCTGACTTCAAATGTGTTGTACATAACACAGTGGCTGAACTTGTTAACTCTCCTGGTGCTAATTGGGAGCATGAACATAAAAATAGTTGGTTTTTCATTGGCTTGACCTCTCCCAACCTTGCTCAGGCTAAAATCGTAAAAGATTGATTGATTAAACTGCATCGCAGAAAGATTGATTATATCAGTGGCATCAAGTGGGTTTTTTCACCTGCTGTAGCTAAATCGTAGTCACCCTATCCACTCTCTTCGCTTAGCTTGGAGTCGTTTTTTACCGTAACCTACGCCGCTATTAATTTACAGAATTTCGCTCGTACGCTTCAACAAAAATCGCTCTTTGTCGTCACCATTCGTGCTATAGATGCATTTGGACCGGGCTTTGTCATGACTCCGTCATGATGTTTTTCCATGTGCTCCGCCCCGCTCTTCTACGGGTATTTAAGCAGCCACAGAGGCGGTGACGGGGTTCTCGTGTAGCTCTGCGCCAGCGTTAGTCCAGAGCGGCGGAAGCCGCCTGCCTGTTCTTATCTACATCCCTTGTGCTGAGACTCCACGGGCGTGGAGAAGGCAGTAATGTATGAGTAGCGGCGAAGGCAGTAATGCCCGGCGCACGAGGAGGACTAGCGCTCACCCACTACGAGCGGGAGACCCGCTTGGGCGAGAGGTAAGGGTGAAGTCGGTCAAGCTTGATGTCAAGGAAAGGGCAAATCAAGTTTATCGAATGTTAATCTGCAGACAGTCTAGGAAAGTGTGATGCTCTATGACTGTAGTAGAGAATAAAGTGTCTTTCATGGAGTGTGCTTTGGTCAAAAGAGAACTGTTGAACCACCATTACTTTAACATCTGAGGAGTGATGCCCTCCAGGTGATCGGCCGGGAAATCGAACCCAGGGCCGCCCGCGTGGCAGGCGAGCATTCTAGGTACCACTGAACCACCGATGCATCCAGTAGACGGTTCTGCTTGCTGCTGCAAATTCTGTAAACGGAGTTATTCTTGAAACTTCTTTTTCGCACCAGATTCTAAACCATTTTATAGTAAAATTTGCAGGTAGGTCATTGATGCATACTAGCACGAACTTTCCTATTTGGAGAAAGATTGATTTCCTCTAAGTCACCCCTTGTCTGCTATTCCTCACCCTGGATCCATTTGTACGCCGTTTGTACCCGTCTCTCTTATGGCTGAAGAGAAGGTGCACGGAAGATTGCTCATGAACGCTAATTATGACCCTGTGAAAGAGAAGCTCGATTCTTTTCTTCACTACCCTTTGTCCTTCTTAATAGTCCTCACTAAGATTGGCAACATGTAACGCCTAATCATGGCCCAAATACTGCTCTCTTTATCAGATCTCATTTAACATCTCCCTCCACGTCAACTATCTTGAATATGAGCCCTTACCCTCGGCAGGAGATGGTGGAAACACACTATCTCTGAATACCCAAAAGTTCCCGAGCTCTACTTACCACATGTCTTTCTGGAACTTTTTGATTGTATCCCTTTTGTGGGACTGTTGTTGTCGCCTATCCTTCCCCCCTTGGCAGGCTTATGGTTACCTCCATCGCCGTTACCGTAAAACTTCTCGAACATCGACACTGGCTATTCTGTTTGAAGCATTTCGCGAGAGCGTTTTTTGCCTAATGCCTACACTTCGTCTCATCTTGCCTTATCGCGACGTTCGCATCGTTATCGAGCGGCAAAATGTGGTGCGACTTGTTCAGGATCGTTCCACCATGCTTCGATTGTCCATTCTTGCTGGCCGTTGTGGTGCCCTCCGGCTGAACGTGATCCAAACTGCTGCCATGGCTTCTGGTACCCATCACCTCCTTCTTTGCCATGACTATGTACTCTGTATCGATTTTTGATTCATTGCAGCTCCTGAAATGATCAAAGTCGAAAAAGTTGGTGCCAAGAAGAATGTTGCTCTCATAACGTTGAATCGTCCCAAAGCATTCAACGCTTTATGTAACCAGCTGATGTCCGAGGTAGGATTTTCCGCAATCTGGTTACGATCTAGTCACTTGGAGAAGGTGACTTGGTTTGGTGCAAGTGGTGCCGCTTACCTCGTGCACGGGCCAGGGTTGAGTCCCGGATCGGATCTCATTCCAGACAATCCATGACTCTGAGTCGGTTTTGGTACTGCACTCGTCTGTAAGGGGGGGGGTAAGAACTCTAATCTGCATATCGGTCCACTCGCTCTTAAAAATGCTGCACCACAATTCGAAAGGAAGTAGGATGTATGGCGCAATCTAAAAAGAGTTCGATCAACTGAATGCTTAATCCTGCTAATCTGTAGTTTCCACCGAGCTTCATTCAAGGTAGTCGAGGAATCCATGAAAGGGGGTGGAGTGAAGAGAGATCGGATAGGGGAAGGGAGTTTTCCTGGGTGCTATTGGTAGTCCACCCATCGAAATGGGTGGAAATACGATTTGCTTAGGTTTGGCAGTTTTTGGTTGAGCGGTTTTTTTGGATCTTTACGGGTTTCTCTTGTTTTGACCGTTGTGTAAACCTCCCTGTTTGGCGAATTTCTGGCGAAAGTGTTCGATTTATTTCGTGCTACGGGTGCTGGTTGGGTACAGGGGGGAGGGCTCAGTGACTAAGACTATGGTCACCTCAGCCTTCATCAGAAACATTCAAAATAAAACTTAATTCGACCGATCAACAGAACACCTATCACATTTCGAGTAAAAACATAAAAAAAGAACAGGGATTATAAATTTCTGATTATTTTTTGAATATTTATTTTAATCTATGAGTTTCGTAGCAAAGGGAATTCAAGAAAATTTTAAAAAAAAATCAGAGCAAAAAATGTCCGCACAGAGCATTCGCTGGGGAGTGCGCCGCGAATTTTACTTGCATCTGTATCCGAAAAAAAGGAATGTGGCAGATTTCAATCGCGCACACAAGAAAAGTCACCGGCAGCTGCTGTAGCTTTTCTGCGATTGTTATATATGGTAGTAATGATTTAGCTGTCTACATCGTTGCGAGAACTGGATTCTGACAGCTCAGTTGGTGCCATCGTCCTCACAGGAAATCAGAAAGCTTTTGCTGGTGAGTAATTCAGTTTTAGCCTTCTCCGTCGATACTACATACAGCTCATCATTTTGTGAAACAACTCGAAATAAATTATTTTTTACAGCGGGAGCAGATATCAAGGAAATGGTTAACCGGGAGTTTGCAACGACGTATCAAGGTCGTTTCCTTGAGGAATGGACGGCTGTGAGCGAGACGGCCAAACCCGTCATTGCGGCAGTCAACGGGTGAGCTCATTCTCGGAATGCTCTCTCAGAAGGGTCATAAATTTCTGTCTTTCCTTTCAACACATCTCGATGACACAAGAAGGTTTCAGAAGCCTACTAAAGGATTCAGTGTCCCCTTTTTCTCCTTTTTTTGCTTGTTATGAATGGAGATTTTGGAATTTGAGCGATGGATTTGAAGATCTCAATAAAAAAAGATTGGCTTCTTTTCATTCTTAGATCTTGGAGCTACCGATTGTTGTCGATTGTCAAGGCTTTGTACCAAAAATGAAGGGTCGATTTTGACTGAGCTTTTTTCATACACCGTTCCTTGAATTTCGGCTTAAAGGCACAGTTCACGGTGAAATCCGGCGCGTTTAGATGAAAGGAAAGGCACAAACTACAGAATTAGTGTGCCAGTAAAAAGCAAACTAAGTTCCCAACAATGTCCCTAGCTAGCCTTCCCGATTTATCGGCAGCGTGGAAGCCTGAAAATACTTTGATCAGACGGGCTTTTT